AAAGACAATTACTCAATACTTTAGATCTTTAATATATGCTCCTTCTTCATCTATACACAACTCTCCCTGAATAAATTAAAATTATAGGATAAAATCACTGGTACGTTTATTGATTCATTACAATGAATTAAAATTTTATCTAAATCGAATACTATTGTTTTTTTAAATGAAATTGATGATAGATTTACTTCTCTTTATACTAGTTCACCATATTTTCTATATTAAGCTGCTTTTATTGATTAAACTTAATGTTCTCTCACTTATTATATTGGCTTTGTGATTTCTGGTGTCATATATCCTATTTCATTTTATAAATCCACTATATTCTTTAGTTTAATCCTTTTGCTGATTTTGGGTGAATTTATATTATTTTCTTAACACCCACTTTATTATTTATTTCCTATTATGTCATAAATTTTGATAAAGATGGCTTTTTATTCAAATTATCATTTTATATTCACCAAAGTACTGGATTTAAGTTTATTTTGCATTTTGTTTAAATCAACATCATTTTTACTAATTTTTGCTTTTTTTATGTTCTACTATTATTGATATTACTATTCATTATTTTTTTAGTATTGAAAAATCTTGATGCCAAACTTTACTTTGTTTACCTTTAGCTATTATCAATATGAGTTTTTATATTTTATGATCTTTTATTCCAAATATGATAATTTATCTTATAACTTTCTATATTCAAGAATTTCCTTTGTATTTCCCTACTTATTTGTGTCCTCTTATTAACTAGATTTTATTTCCATATTCATTTTTTTAGACTTTAAACTAACTAAAAATTTAATTTGCTCAATTAAGTTGAACTCTTCACTTGTGTTAATTATTTTATTTAAGTTGCTGAACAAGGTCGAGCTTGTTCTGGTATGTATCTTCCAAAATTCTTTTAGATAATGGTCTTCTCAAATCTTGTGAATTTTTATTTTTAAATTAATTAGTGTTATTCATTTATATTATATTAATCATTCAAATTAATTGTATTTAATTTAATAATTGACAAATCTTTCTTCATGAAAGATGTGGATATAAGCTTTTTTGTAAAATTCATATCATATTTTATTTTTATACTTTCTACTTCTTCTTTCTTTTAATTTTTATAATAGAACTGCATTTCGAAATTAAACACAAAAATTTATAATAATAATCAAGAATTCTTATCAATTGAGTCAAATAATATTCTTATTTTAATATATTTATAACTTATGCTATATACTTAAATATGAATCATACTTAAAAATTATTATTTAATAAACTTACATTTTTTACATTCATGGTAATATTAAATTATGGTTTATAACATAATACTGAATAGATCATTAAACCATAACATTCAAAGTAAATATTAAAAACAATTTTTTAAATTAATCAATAAAGTTATAGCCTAATTATCTTCTTTTATTTTTATAATGATGCTTAGTCTTAGATTTATAAATGACCAGTAACATTTTATTATATTAAAATAAATCTAAAAATAATCAACACTGATTATCACTGATTTTGCAGATTATAAATCAAATTACTTTGTTGACAATTATTATAAAAAGTGATTTATAATCTATTTTATCTGTATAATAAATTTATTTCCTTTAAAAATCCTATAAACTATGTTAACATCTAAGTCTATATAGTTTGTCATTATATTTCTAATCTGAAATGGCAATATTAAAGCATCTATTATAATTTTCTTATAATTAATTTTACTTTAGTTTCATCAAATACTTCTCTCATTTCAATATTAAAATTCTAATTAGTAGAAACAAATCAAATTAAATAAAATTTTAGTCTTCGAGGAATGAAAATCCTATTTATTGGTTGTGCTTGATCCTATTTTAAATTATTAGTTAATCATTTTTAACACAATATGAATTGATTTAATCATAATTCAATCTATATAAACCAAAAATGTTTAAATATGTTAAAATAATGAGATTATTTATAGTGGTATAAAATCAATTTGATCTTTCAGTTTGTTGGTGAACTGTAAAATAAATATGGAATTAATAATTATATATACTTAAATACAGAATATCTAACCTTATGATAATGATTGAAATCTAATATATAATAAAAATTAAGTAATATATTAATTTCATAAATTAATTATTCATAATTCTAATACTGATATTGAATAAATATAAAATAAATTTATTATATTAAACATAAAATAAAAGACTAAGACTATATTTATAAGATAAAATGGGAAATTCATTAGAGTCTCCAGATGAGAAGGAAATTAAATAAGTGAAAGGAGTGAAGAATTCAGTTCATTTTGAAGATATGATTTAAATAAAGAGGAAAGAGAAAAGTAATAAAATAAGTCAGATTGAATGTGACAAATTTAAGTATTTATTATAAATTCGGAATATAATTATTGATCCAAATTAGATTGAAAATAATTGTAATAATTTAAGATAAATATTAAAGTATATATTTAATCAATTAATTAAAATAATACATTAATTTTGATGATCGCATCCTATTAATTAATTAATAAATCATATTATTCAACAACCAAAGACAGCTTAAAAATAAAAGAAACCTTCAAAGAAGCATTCAGAAATTCAACCAAATAAGACTCTTGATGAATTAAGAAATAAGGAATGGATTGTACTCTATATTATTAGCATGAATTAGAAGTTATATTCAAAGAAGCATCTACATCTTAAGATTTAATAAGTTTGGGAAGTTTTAAATTAGTAAATGATGAATACGAATACGCCACTTTCAAATTCCAAAATTTGATTGAGATGCTAAAAAATATTCTGATGATCATTCTAAATACCATGAAAAAAAATAGAAGTTGAAGGAATTAACAAAAAGTGCTGAGGATTATGAAGCTATTTAAAGTATGACAAGAGAACAACAAAATTTCACATATATCAAAGTTAAGAGAGAGAAGATTCAATTTCAATATTGAGTTTCTTAAAGAGTTTAAAGAGTTTTATATCCTCAGTTAAGCCTATCGTAAATTGAATGATCAACATGAAGATCAATAAGAATTGTAAAAACACAGAGATTACATTCTCCAAAAGATTGAAAAGATTAAGAAGACAAGATTGAAAAACATTTCAATAGAATAAAATGGAATACTACTCTTAGTGAAATCTCATACCTTACAAAATTTTAGAAAAAGGAAGGAGTATTATTATAATTTTTTATTTTAGGATTAATTCTTATAACATGATTTAACTACTTACCAATATATTGATTAAATAAAAGTGGCTGCTCCATTCTATACAAATCAAATTGATTTAGCTATAGATTTGATTAAATAAAAATGATCTTTCTATTAGAACAATTAAGTATAGAAAGTGGATACCACAACTGAGTAGGAATTTCCTAAATCCACATAATCTAACAAAATTATTATAAAACCAAATCATATATTAATAATATTATGGTTTGTAGAACTAAATTAATTGAATGAACTATTAAAGAATCTTAAAAAAACAGAAATTTTAAATTTAGAAATTAGAATCAAAAATAAGAGAAATTAGCACTTAAATACAAATAGATGAGTTAATTTTAACGAATCAATATAATTAGATTAAGTCTAGGATTAATATCATTCAGTTGTAAAAGAGCAGTAATATCAATAATAATAGATTTAAATAAGTTATTTAAAAATACCTAAACAGATTGGTTAAAATCCATTTTCCATAAAGGAGATAAATAGGAATATTCTTCAAGAATAAACATCAACATGATGAAAAGAATTAATATTAATGTAAGCCATAAGTATCATCAAATAATATGAAATTGATGGTAGATGTGAAATGTTTATGGAGAGATGGAATTCATTACACATAGGAACTGTTTTCAAAAATGGCTCATGTAATAGCCAAAGAAGCATAAACAATATAATAATTAATTATAGTGATTTGAGTGATGATTTCAAAACAGAATGTTAAAAACAATTAAATAATTTTATCCTTATATATCCTTTCTTAAGCTAACCACGAGTCTTCCTTCTCCTACATTTATTGTTTTAATCTAAAGATTTAAGTAAGTTGTTTTTATTATTTTTGATCTTGAGTTGCTCCACCATCTAAAAAGTATGCTAAATTAATTACACAATCATTAAGCAATTAATTGCCAGACAAATTAAACAGAAATTTTATCTATCTACAGCTGTATTATATTTCAATAATATTGTCAATTAATATTACTATTGATCTGATTTAGAACTAAATTCTAGATATTCAAGTATCATTAGAAATTCCTTTGTTAATTCATTATTATTTTTAATGAGTAATCATCAAAACACAAATTTTTATGAAGTTATTGCTAAAATTACAACTTTGCCTCTTACTCAAAGAGTTCCTGTTGTTACACTATTATACATACTCAAACTAAAATAATAATTTGATAATAATTATACTCCATTTTTAATATCACACTTTAGAAAAATAAACTTAAATCCTTACTAATTTATATGATCGGCTCACTCTCTACCATTGTATGAGAATGCTATTGTAATGATTTATTTTTAAGTAAAATCAAAATCATTTTGAGATAGAGAATTCCCAATCAAGAAGAACTTACTCATTTATCTAAATTTGTAAGTGATGCTGAAATATAAGAACTAACTTAAAATAACTTAGCTAAAACTTTATAAGAATATTGGTTAAAGTTTTTAAAAAATTCAAACTTTATATATAATTTAAATTCACAGATGACATTTGTCATGATAATGATAAGATTATGATGTAATTAAATATCTGAACAAAATTAAATTGGAACACAAAAAAACAATTAAAATTTAACTATTAAATTAACCTTCTTGCCAAATGAGTATTTTACAAATTAGATTCTCAAATTAAAAATTTCTTTCTTGAAAAGAAATGAAGACGCTTCAAACAAAAGTGAATATACTCACATTATTAGGAAGGATGGCAAAAATATTACAGAAGAGAAAGTTTCAAAAAAATAAATGTGAAGTAAACAAATATTTATTTAGTTTTCCTAAAATTGCCTGGCTAATCAATGAAAATTAATATATAGAGTTAGACGCTCTTTTAATAAATTTAATTTTTTAATAAAATTATATAATTAAAATAAAACCGTACACTTCTATTAATAGGCGAATTTATTAAAATAAATAAATTTAGTTTTGTATTTTTATAATAAATTAAACAATACATTTAATACATTTTGATAAATCTGAATATGATAATTAAGTGGATTATAAAAAAATTATTTAAATTAATTTATAAATTTATCAATGCATATTATGAAATATTTAAAGATAATCCTATTATTTTTATTATAATTATAACAATATGTTTTTCATAAATTTTTATAATAATAATTTAATAGAATATCTAAATTTTATTTCAAATTAAAAATTTATAATTATATAATTTTATAAATTGTTAAACATATTAATATATATTAAAGAATTTTACAAACTTCTAAAAGTAATTAAATTTATGTAAAAAAATTGAAACAAAAAAAATCAGTTATTTTTACTATAAAATTATAGATTTGAAGAGTTGAATGAGGATAAAAGAAATACAAGATATCGAGCAGTAGTAGAGGAGTTAAGAAGAAGAAAATTTAAAAAGCAGAATGCATTTAATAATGAAATAAATGCATGTTAATTAAACAATGTTCTATTAAATGTTAATTAATAATAATACAAGTTTATTGTAACCATATTAATAAAGTCTGTTGGTTTGTTCACCAACAGAAGGATCTCTAAAGAGTTACAGTAGATATAACAGGAAAATTAAAAGCCTAGTTACATAAAGGATAATGCTGAGATCTACAAATAGAATTAAATGAATTGGAAACCATGTCTTACAGATAGACCTTAAAGAGGATAGAGTACAGAAGCATAATCATTTATAGGGAAGATATCATCACATTAAAAGAATTATAAAGTAAATATTATAAACAAATGGAATCAGCTAAAAAGAGAAAATTGTATATTTAAATATTAGATATATTAAAGGGGTAATTTTGTATCTGGAAGTTCAATGATACTTAAAGAAGCTATATCTAAGATCCATTATCCAAGTTATTAGATAAATGAATTATTATCTATAAAATAAAGTAGTAGTTATAATATTTTAATGGATGTTATGATGGACGTAAATGGAACAATTGAAAGAATCTTTTGATATAGTAAATATATGTTAATAATAGTAAATAGGGATATCTATGTATTTGCGATTCTGGAATAACATTTGGAAATGATTCAAAATAATTTTTTGGATCATCTGTATACATTGGATTTGATATGATAAATAAAAGACACTTGAGAGAGTTTACAATTTCAACAACAGTAGCATCTACTGCTACATGTATAGTATCAGGAGGTGCTGCTAGTCCTATGATATATATTGGATATTTATATTATCTGTGATATTTTCTTTAGTTATATATCTAGCACATTAGGGATTATTAAATGGTTGAATTATCATCATTATATCAATCCTCTTCTAATAAACCCTTTTCATTTTTTTTTTTCAATTTCTTTATTACATTTTATTAATCTATTCATCCAATATTAATAATATTATTAATAAAGTCTCCATATAAAATTTAGTTTTTATTTCCAAAAGATGCTAAACAATCTACAATCATCTAATCCTACAAAAATCAATAGTTTAAGAACAAAAATATAAATAAATTACATCTCCATCCTTACACACCTCAAAAGAATCTTATAGATACACTTTTATCCATAATAAATTAAAATGAATCATAGAAATTCAAATTCCAATAGAAGAAATCAAGTCTAGTATAATTTTAATAGTATTTCTCTTAGTTATTCATTCTAAAAACATAACAAGGATTAAGCCTATTAAATTAATTTCTTGGGCAAAATTGTCACTATAAAAATTTGATTCATTATCTATTGTATATAGTATATTATTTGGAATATTTAAATTATCAATTGTCTAAATCAATTTTACCTAACCATTCTTATAGAACTCGTAGATTTTGTACTTTAGAAATTAAGATTACATAAACAAAAAATTAATTTATTTATCATCATATTTTATAAATTAATCAAAAAAATAGTTCATGTATTTTTTTGTGAAATAAATATTCACTCATAAATATATCTTATATATCTCCAAATATTTATTTTGATTCATATATAATTTTTAACTTTAAGATTTTATTGCTGAGCTATTTTTATCATTTATTTAGAAAAACAAATTTATTTTCAACCAAAAATATATATTTCATTGAACATGTATATTATTGCTTTAAATTTACAGAATATCTATCATGCTAAATATTTTCGCGAATTTCTAATTTGATGTATTCATCCATATAAATTAAGTCTTAAGATTGAGGTTCTTTATTATCTCTAGATTATTCAAAATTAATGGATAAACTTTTTTTGATGGACCACTCTGACTTCTATAATTAAAGTTAATTCTTTCTTAAATCAACTTTATTGTATCCTATGCATAAAAAAAATGTATGCATAGAGATTTGAATCCAGAATACCTATTATTAAGAACCAAAGATAAAGATTCAGATGTAATAATAGCTGATTTTGGATTAGCACTCATATTTGACTAATAACCACTATATAAAAGATGTGGAACTCCAGGATTTGTAGCACCTGTAATTTTTACGTACATTGATAATTGTCCATTTTATAATGAAAAATGTGATATTTTTAGTGCAGGAATTATATTTTATATGCTGATCATTGAAGCACAACCTTTTGAAGGATCTAATTATAAAGAAATAATATAATCAAAAAAAGATCTGTCAAATTCATTATGATCTTAAACAAATAACAAAGATATATTTAATTTGTATTTTTTCAAGAGTCCTTAAATTCTTAAGAATATATTAAAGAAAATGCTGATCCTGTTGATAGATATTCCAATGAGGGAGGATGGTTGAAATATGACTATTTTTAAGAAATTTTTAACTAAGACGATCTATTAGATACTAAAGAAAAAAAATTTTAAAAATACGAATTAGAACATTATTAAGAAAAAATTA